GTTTTGGCATTTATTGTTAATTGAATTTTCGCAGAAATGGCAGCAGAAAGATGGTTAATGTTCCTGAATTTACATCAAGTTAAACATCTGTTCCTCTTAAGCTAAACTCCAGTAAAGTTATGGCAGCTCATAAATTAGATCTGGGAGTAAAATGCTTTCTGCTCTTTGCACAGCTTAGCAGTTTCAAAGTAGACCTCAGCATGACACATGGCATCTGAGGCCTGTGTCACACGGCCACATTCAGCTGTGACATCAGTGCCAGGCGACTGAGCCAAGTTTCTGCTTTGGTGGGAAAGATCACAGCTTTGTCAAGCGGCAAGTGTCATTGCTTCCCAGCTGGGGACAATGTGGGGACTGGGGATGCTAATGTTTGTGTGGGGATCAGGAGGCGCCTGCCCACAAGTGACCCCATAAGCCTGGGCACATCTGGTCTCTCCCTTGGGCTCCACTGGGGGCTCTCCCGTGTGAGGGTCTCAGAATCTGAGCCAAGGGGCTGAGTCCCTGCCAGCTCAAGAAGGGCTAGAGTCTAGTGGGTGTGACTCTCAGGCATGGCTGGCTACTGTGTGGTTTCTGAAGGGATGGCCTGTGTGTGGTTTGGGAAGCAAGCTGCCTACACCCACATGTTGGAATCTCGGGGCATGGTGCACCAGCCCAGACCCCGCGATGGAGAAAACCGGGCCAGTGAACGAGGGGGCTCTATAGGCGGGCCCAATGGGGCCATTGGGGCTGGGGGGCGGGGGGGGGGGGGGGGGGGGGACAAGTTGGAGAAGGAGGCCAGAGGACGTAGTGCAGGAATGGCTGAGGGTGGCGAGGGAGGAAAGGCAGGCAGACACTGCCCCTTCCTGGTCACCCTCACCGCCCTCCCTCCCTGGTGCAAGGTGTCTCCCGCCTCCCCTCACCTGCTTCTGGCTGCTTCCTGTGTCCAGGACCTGGGCCTCCAACAGGCACCTTCACCACATGGCCTGTCTCACTCTCAGCATCTGAGCTTCCCTTTAGCTGGGTGGCATCTCCCACCTTGCCCACATTCTGCAAACCCCCCTTCCCTGGACTCTTTGGAGCCTCCAGCCTCACCCATACCTGGGGCTGGGAGCATCGCCTGCCACAGAGTGAAGATGGTCCCTGCGAGGCCCGAGCTGGCCGGGCGCGCGGCTGATGGGACGTTCGCAATGTCTCTCTTGCTTCCCTTTGTTTTGCAAGAGAAAGTGTTCCTTTGATGGACATTTAATTCCAGAGGCTGCTACCTGCTTCCTATCTCTCTTTACTCAAAAAATTAAATGCGGATGTGCCTGTGCTCCTGCTATAATAATCTCCCTCGGCCCGAGGGAGTGTGGCTGGAATGGGAGAACATTAGGATCTTCAAAGAGGGACAATTATTGAGGGAACTAGATTAATGAGGTGTCATCACAACTTAGCCAGATCCGCGGCTGACCTTTCTCATGGAGAACGGGCTTGATAAATGTAGTTCATTACCAAGTTCTGACATGAAAATAGGATCCCGCTCTGGGCTCCTCAGCAGGCTGATCAATATTTTATCTGCCAAAGCAGGCCTGGTCTGGCAGCAGGAGGAGCCCCGCACACTCGTGCTGGCAGGAAGCCCAAGGCCAGTGCCAGGGGCTGGCCGGGCCGGCCCTGCCATGTGGAGGTCACCCAGGCTGGCCGGCAGGGGATGCTCGTCAGTGTCAGGCTGACCAGGACACGCACCTCCCTCCGTGAGAGGCCCCCTGGGGAGAGTCCACGAGCAGTGGGAAGGGAGGGAGGAAATGTTCTGTTCTTCCATGAACACCGAGATAATGGCCACCTGTGCCAGGTGCTGGGCACTGGTAATGGGGACAGACAGGTGAGTCACCCAGAGAAGCCTCAGGCCTGGCTGACCATTGGACTTGGCAAAGTCCTCTTACATTTCCTCTGATGCAGCGATTTTCAACCAGGTGCCTCCAAGGGCACACGGGGCGCTGCAAAAATTTCTAAAACATGCAATGCCTGACTAGTTAGTCAGGGGCACTGACCTCTTTTTCCTTAGATTGTCAAATAAATTTTAAAAAATGACAAGAACCAACACAACAATAGCTATCCACTGTGAATGAATCAAAATCATACCTATTTTTTTGTCAGACTAGCAAGATATCTTTTTGATGCGCCACCAAATTTTAGTGATTCGTTTATGTGTGCCATGAGGGTGAATGAATCAAAATTATACCTATTTTTTTGTCAGACTAGCAAAAGATATCTTTTTGATGCGCCACCGAATTTTAGTGATTCGTTTATGTGTGCCATGAGATGACAAGGGTTGAGCATTGCTACTTTAATGTCATGACTCTGTAACGTGGTGAGGGGCTATTTTTGCCCCCATTTTAAGGTGGAAAATGGAGGCGGGAAGGGCAAGGGCTCCTGCAAGCCCTGCTGCCTGGCATGCTTTTCCCTGTGCCACCTTCTCCCCACACTCTCTCATCCTGCAGGTCTCATCCTGAATGCCCTCCCTCATCAGCTCCCCCTCCAGGCGCCCTGGGTGCTCAGACCAGAGGCCCACTGTCTGCCCCCAGTGTGCCACCCAGCCCCTGGAACAGAGTTTATAAGTTAGTGCTGGATGGGAGGAGCAGGGCGGGGTGGGCTCTCGCAGGGGGCAAGACCAAGGACTCGGGGAGCTGACTCTGGACACCGGGACACCACCCTGTCCCCCAGGCTGATGTCTAGATGTGTGCCTACCCTCCTGGCCAGGAGGCCTGTGCTGGGCCATGGCCAGGGTGGAGGAGCAAAAGCCTGTAATTCACAGTGAAGGCAGGAAGGTGATAGAAGGGGCGGGGCCTGAGGGGGTTGCTGCAGCCCTCTCAACAGGACCCCCCCTGCCAGTGTGGAGATGCAGCCTAGCTGGAGACCCCCGGCCCCGGGCCACAGGCAGCTCAGAGGAGCTCTATGCTCCACCAAGGTCTGTGAGGAAGGGTAGAGGTTGTGGGGGACCAGCGAGAAGGAGACATCTCTGCCCAGCTGACCTGTCCTGGCCCATCCTTCAGGTGGCCCTGCCGGGGTGTGTCCTCAGGAGTCTGACTGTGCACTAGCATTTCTGAGTCAAGCCTCCTGTTGACCCATAGACCCCATGTTCACCTGCTGTGCACAGTGACCTCGCAGCACCGGGCGTGATTACCGCTCCCAGGAGAGCCTGACCCTCGAGACAGGTCCCCACAGATCCCCACACAGAGACGCCCTCACCTCCTACACCAAAGCTTCTGTCTCAGCTCCCGTACTGCCTCCCGACTTCTGGGTCATTTACCAGAACTGGATTTCACCCTGTTGAGGGCAAGGGGGCAAAATTTATCACTCCCCTTCGCCAAATCTGACCTTTATCCGGGCCTGGGAAGACGGGAAACCCCGGCAGACTGCCACATCCTCCCCTGGGCGGTTTATCGCAGGACAAGGCCACTGTTTTCAACACTGTGCAGCCATACAGACTTGAGGACCAGGTTTGCCGACTGGTGGCCCCATGCGCTCCCCGGCATGGGCACCCAACAGGCCAAAGAGGGCGCCAGCACGGCAGGGGAATGGGAGAGCCAGGCCTGTCAGAGCCTGGAGCTCCCAGAGAACAAATAGATTTGATTACATTGAACACAGCAATTGATTTTTTTCTAAATAAACATGCAGGAGGAAATGGTAACAGGCATCTGTTTCTGACAAGAATCAATTGACCTCCAATTGGAAGAAAATCTAGAAACACAAACAAGCACAAGAGAAAGTGGTTGGGCCGCCCAGGCTTGTCCAGGGAGAGCGGGAGGGAGAGCAACAGACAGACTCCCCGTCCGCCCTTCCCCCATCAATAGCTTCCTTGTTTGTTGCTCTTCAGCAAATGTGGTCCTACCGATGATAAGGAGAGAATCTCTATCGTTATCGTTCGGTGAGCCCTCGCTCTGTGCCAAGCCGTGCTAACCCCTCTGTGTGCATATCTTATTCAATCCTCATAACAGCCCGTGTGGGAGGCAGCTGCGTGGGAAGGGTGTCCTCCCACTTCCCAGATGAAATCACGGAGGCGCCTGGTCCAAGGTGCAGGTTCTGGCAGCGGCAGGGCTGGGTCTGAAGCCCAGGGGACTCGAGTCGGCACTCTCCAGCCCCGCGTTACAGTGACTGTCCCAACCCCTGATTCTCTAAACTGGCCTAAGAATTAAGGGAAAGTGCATTCCCAGCAGCACATTGGCCTCCCACCTGGAGTGGACGGTGAGGATCCTACCAGGACTCAGGAAGCCCTCCACCCCCAGGGAGGCGAGGAAGCGGGGCTGGAGGGCTCCCCTGCTCTGCTAACACCCTGCAGCCTCCGGCCCGCCACCGGGAAGATGGCCAGTGTCAGGTCGCAGTGCATCCCAGGCCTCACCTGCCAAAACGCCGCGTGGTCCTGATGCTGTGCAGCAGGCAGGCCTGTGATACAGGCCCAGAGCAGGGGCTGCGTGCTCCGGGGTTAATTTCGTAAAGCTCCCTTTTGTTTCTTGGTTGTAGACTTGCATACACATGTTTGTTTTGAAGTAATCCAGCTCTGGGAGTGTACCTAATTAACTTAAGCAGGGCTTCTTAGTCCTGTTAACTAAAACTCCCGAATCTATGAAGCCAAGTATTCAAAAGCAGCCTTTAAGGTGGGATTAAGGCAAAGACGAGCTATTACAAAGTGAAGTGGGGGCCAGCTTCCCTGAAGCCACCGTGGGGCTGCCGCTGTGAATTCCCCTGGACAAGCTCCCCCCAGACCATCTGGCAATTGTTCTATGTCTGGCACATAGTAGGTGCTCAGTAAAGCTCTGTGGGATGGACGGCAGGCTCCGTCCAGCATTTGCATCATGTGCGGCATGTATCCAGTGCTCAGAGGATAGCTGTGGGGTGGGTTGGTGGGCAGGCAGGCAAGCAGATCCCATCTACTCCAGTGCCACCCCCCCCCTCCACCCCGCACGCGGGAAATGCCCAGAATGGATAAAGGTCCTCCCAAGCCCTGGGGAGGAGTCTCACTGCAATAACCCCCTCTCCTCCTCCAGGCGAGCCGTGCACCATGGCCAACTACGCCCGCCTGAAGAATGTCCTTCTGGCACTGCAGACCCGCCTGCAGCCACTCCCGGAAGGGGCCAGCCGCCGAGACCCTGCCTCCCAGAAGCGCCTCCTGGTGGAATCTCTGTTTAAGGACTTGGATGCAGATGGCGACGGCCACCTCAGCAGCTCTGAACTGGCTCAGGTGAGTACGGCGTCCAATGAAAATAAAATGAAGGAGGAATCGGGTTTTCCACTGGGCATGTCCATGAAGAGAACCAGGAGGTCACGTGCGGAGGGTCGTTTGTAACTGTCTCTGTGCTGGGATGCCTGGGGGGCCTCCTGCAAGAGACCCTTCTCCAGGGAGCCGGAGAGCGTGCGTTCAGGGCCTCTCAGAATCTCTGACAAACAAACGGCGCCGTGTCTTCTTCCCACCAGCCACCTTCAGCCAATATTTACAAACAAGCTTTGAAGCGCTCGCAGCTAGCTGGCAAAACACACGCTTCACCGGGGCTGGTCTCTGATGTTGTCATTAGGAAGTAAATCTTCTCTTCCGTGAGTCTTTTACTTTCCTCAGCAGGAAGGCGAAAGGAAGCAGGCTCAGTTTCACCACACACCCCAGGGGCTGCAACCTGGGCGTCCCCCGGTCCTCTCCCCTAGGGTCTCGCTGTTCTTTAGTAACCAGATTTCAACAGCCCAAGCCCCAGCCTGCTTGCTGGCACAAGGCCCTGTGTCCACCCCTAAGCACTGCTCTTCCTTTGAGAAAACACTTGCATCAGGCCCTGCAGTTTGCCTCCCTCCCCAAACCCAGCGCATGTGTCCGTCTGTCCAGCTACAAGGAAGTGCGAGGGCAATTAGCATCTGTGGCAGAGAGATGCGAGGAGGGAGCAACCGGGCCCAGTCATCGCCAGCTGTAGGGAGGATCTTCCTGGCCGGTGGCAGGAAGGCAGGCTGGGTGGGCCAAAGCGCCTGCATTCCTGCTCCGCTGGTTTGCCTCTAAGGACCTATAAGGCAGGCTGGGTGGGCCAAAGCGCCTGCATTCCTGCATTCCTGCTCCTGCTCCTGGTTTGCCTCTAAGGACCTAGGGCTCTTGAGCCGCATCAGGCAGGTGCAAAGGTTTGCAAGGAAGGCAAGGTCGGCCTCCCCAAGCAGGGTGGTGGGCGAGGGAAGCTCGCCCACAGACACCGAGTGCCCACCAGAGGACAGGTAAGTCCCCGCCTTTGATGTCACTATAAAGAAACCTTTCACATGATGTGGTGACCTTAGCAAAACGGCCCGGTCACCAGGAAGGACCGGGCTGGGGTGTGTGTGCCCTAACCCTCACCGAGCACCCTGTGTGCTAGGCAGTGAGCCAGGCCTTTCCCTGGATGGAACAAGCAGAAGAGGTCCTTGCTATGTCGTGTAGTAGCTGAGAACACATGGGATCTGCTTGGCTTCACGGTCACACTGCCTGCATTCAAGTCCCGCCTCCAGCATTCTCTGGCTGGTGGATCATGGGAGACACCCTGCCTCTCTGGGCCTCCATTTCTGGTCTGTGACCATCACAGGGCCATCGGGAGGGTTAAACAACTAAGGCGTGATGTGCTGGGCACAGTGCTGGGCACGCAGCACGTTCTCAGGAGGTGATAGCGGTCAGTATTGATGTCCTCGTCATCATCTTGGTGACTATTACTTCCTCCTAAACCAGTGGTCGGCAAACTGCAGCTCACAAGCCACATGCGGCTCTTTGGCCCCTTGAGTGTGGCTCTTCCACAAAATACCGACTTCTGCGCATGGGCCACGAAGTTTCAATCGCACTGTACGTGCGCACCCGCACATGGTGTTTTGTGGAAGAGCCACACTCAAGGGGCCAAAGAGCCGCATGTGGCTCGCAAGCTGCAGTTTGCCAACCACTGTCCTAAACCTTTCAGCGTCCTCTGCCGTGAGGCAGGCATTGCTGTTCCCTCCACTTCACAGAAATCAAGCAGCTCGCCTGGGTTTGTTCACTGCTCATGACATGAAGGCACTAAGATGCACCCCAGGTGGGCTGGTGGGCGTGCACCTGCTCTCCTCACAGCACAGGGGTCTCCCAGAGGGAGCATGGCTCCCCCCAGGAAGTTCCACCCGGTCCTCTCAAGGTCTGTGGGGCCAGCAAGTGCCCCCAAAACCTGAGTATGGAACAGTCACCCAGAAGCCCTGCCAGGCAGAGTCCCCCTCCCAGGGCCCCCCGCTCCACCAGTCCAGAGCTCGCTTCCTGGGAGCACATGCAGACCCCACTCTTCTCACCCACACCTGGTCAGCACCCCCTTCATCAGCCATGCCAGCCAGCACTGCCCCACCTTCCTCAGCAATAGGCCCCCACTGTGGCCAAGACCCCAGGGGGCAGGGCCAGCAACCCAGGTCCTGGTGGTGGCGCTCCCTGCAGGAGGAACCGCCTGGTGAATCCCAGGCCACAGGCTGTGCAGGCAGCGCCTGGGGCAGATGCTTGGCGTGGCCTGGACAGAGGCTGCTATGGCTCTTGCCCCCCCCCCACCCCGCCCACATGGCTCCCAGGTGACTAAGTAAACAGGACCTCCCTGGTCATGTTGCTCTAACCTGGCAGAGGCATTCCCCGAGGCACCTGGAGCCATTAACAAGCATGGTAATTGGGTTAATGTATTTAACGTCCATTTCACAAATCTGCCAGACCGAGCCCAGCTAAAGGGAGCCTTGCCTTGACACTGACTCAAAGGTGTGGCGGAAAAACGCGTAGGTCCTATGAAACGTTAATCCATTTCCAATGCAGAAATAGACGAAGGGAACTTTCCATCCCTGAAAGATTGGTTTCGGGCGTTATGGTTGATCTCCCTTTTATCGACCACTCTTACTTGCTGGGTGAAGGGTCATTTTTTTTTAACATTATCACATTAAATTGCTTTTCATATAGCAGACGAAGCTGAGACTCAAACAAAGAGAAAATGCCTCGCCCTAACCGGTTTGGCTCAGTGGAGAAAATGCCTCTGTCCCCCTCTTCCCCGCCCCCTGGAATAAAATGAAATTCTTTCCTTCTTCTGAGGTTTCCTTCTGAGCATTTTTTCTGTAAGACACACTGGCGTCTGGCCCCAGCTGAGCGAGGGTGCCGGAAGTCTCTACCTTTAGTCACCTTTGGCTGGTCATGCTGGGGAGGGCTCCGTGCCCTGTGGCCTGGGCCACATCCAGAGAGGAGTTCATGAAGGCCCACCCATGGCCCCCTGCCAGGGTCCCAAGGACAGACATTCTGTCCCTGGCAGGGCCGGGCAGGCAGAGGCAGGGCTCAGGCTCGGTCAGTAGAATGGCAGCCCTCCCTTTTGGGGGTCTGTGCTGTGGCTAAGGGGCACAGCCCTGAGATTGCAAGGGCTGGTGGGAGTAGGGGGAGGAGGCGTTAATGACCTTCCAGCTGTCCACAGCTGGAAGCCAGGAGACCTCTGTTCAGCCTCTATTTATTTGCTGAATTTGTTTGATCAGGCCCCTTCTCTTCTCTGTTTCCCCATCGATAGCATGAAGGATAGATCAGGTGGCCTCAAGGATCCTTCTGACCTCTGGGGTCTGTCTGCCCAGATGGCGAGAAGACGCACCTGAACACTAATCCCGACTCTGCCCAACCGCTGTGTGACCTTAGGAAAGTCCCTCCCCATTCTGAGACTGTTTTCTTATCTGTAAAATGGGAGGGTCAGGCAGGACAAAAGCAAAGAGCTTCGGATGCTCCCCAGGGCCCACTGAGCTGTTGCCGATTCCTCCCCCGACTGGCCTGAGCCATGTCCCAGCAAAGCCCATAGCTCTGAGCTCACTCCCGGCTCCGGCCTTGTTCCCTCCCTCACCCACAGCACGTGCTGAAGGAACAGGACCTGGAGGAGAGCTTCCTGGGATGCTCGCCAAGCGACCTCCTTCAATTTGATGACTACAACAGTGACGGCTGGCTGACCCTCCGAGAGTTCTACACGGCCTTCCGTAAGTCAGGCCCCAGCCGGCCGGCCGGGCAGACGGGCTGTGTCCACAGGCATCCCCGCACCAAACGGTGTCAGGGCCTGGAGTCTGTCCTTGGTGTCTCCAGGGTTGGTTTCCCTCATGGATGAAAGCAGTTGGATTTGCTTTGCAGCAAACCTGAGCTCACAGAGGATAAAGGAGTGGGGTTGGGAGAGGGGGCATTTGGTCTCTTCCTTTTGGATAAAGGACCTTCTTGCCATCATCTGAGGAACACGGGCCTGTAATTTACGCGTGTCTGGGAGCGCACCGCTGCATACCTCGGGGGGAGACTGTGCCTGTAGTGGAGGGAGCAGACTTTAGGGCTCTCCCCGGGCTGTGGCCCCCCAGGAGGAAGGTTCTGCAGGAGGGTTCTGGAGGCTGGGCCAGCCGGGAGAGGGAAGTAAAGGCGGTGCTGGGGTTGATTTTGGCCCCAAAGAGAGGAAGCCCCTTTAGGTTAGACAGTATTCAGGCTCTGCTTAAGGCAGGTAGTATGTGCGCCCTGTGTGATGTGTCCTTGAACGTGACCTTCAGGCCCTGGAATTTGAGAAATAGGGTGAGGCACTCCCAGGGTGCACTGAGCCTCTGAGCCACAGACCCTGCCACTCTGCCCGCCCCCCCCCACCTACCCCGGAGCTCCCCTTTCAGAAAGGTGTCGGTGTTCCCTGTGGATCTCTCCTTTTGGCGGCTGTTATTCCAAACACCCCACCCACAAGGCCTGGGAGGAGTCCTTGGCGAGAAGGGCTCTTGTGGAGATGGAAGAGGTACGTGTGTGACATAAGAGAAGAGAAACAAGTGCGACTCTTCCCTGTAGGAAATGTTCATGAACCTGATGCAGGGCTGCCTTTTCAGTTCACAGCATCCCTGTTGCCAAGGACCAAAGCCCACGCCCCAAGCTCAGGGCTCTGCTTGCAATGCGGTGACTAGGTGTGGCTCCCCATCTTCCTCCTCCCTGCCCATACCTGCTTCAACAGTGAAATCTGCTTATAGTAGAGTTCAGAATAAGGTGTGAATGACTGATAGGCTCAGCCTGCTGGGGGGGGGGGGGGGGGGGGGGGGTTGGCTTTGTGGATCAAGGACCTTGTTCCCTGAAATAAATCTCTACATTTTAGAACATATGGAAGTATCAGCGGCTCCCTAGACCTAGTTCCTGAGAGCCCACTGTTAGATTTTCAGGAATTTTCAAGACAAACAACTGGCAACCTTTTATCATCCATGGTGGGAGTATTTACACCACAGAAACGACACAAAAAGGAAGGGGGGGGTCTCTTTCCTCTGGAGAGCCAGCTGTTAAGCATTGCCCTGCACATCACTCCTGACCCAGAGTCCAGCTCCTGCAATATCCTCTCCATCCACCTTCCCCAAACCGAGACCTCCTGATGGTTTTAATCTCTGTGGAATCTGGACAAGAAAAGAGTGGGGTGGTCCAGGCAGATGACAGGGAGATGGCCCTCCACAGCAGGGAAGCCACATCACGTGTTCCAGGACACTTCGGAGACAAACGGAGCTGTGAAGGAAGAGGTTGGTGCATTTGAAGAGCCAGGGGCCAAGGCTGGACTTCAAGACTTGGGGGTACATCAGGCGTCCCACAGCGGCACATTCAGCAGGGACGGCACCGCTCAGGCACCGTCTGGTACCACAGGAGCCTCTGCTCAGGAGCTCTGCTCCTGGGACTCAGTCTGCGGCCAAACAGGACGCTGCTGGCGTTATTCGCAAGACAGAAGCATCCCTGCTGCCCCCGATGGAAGGAAGGCTCCTGGCCTCCCTCATGACGGTCCTGGCAGCCACGAGCTGCGTGGAAAAGGAGGGCAGTCATCGCTCCACCGCCAGCCCTGTGTCTCACAGAGAGCAATATGGTGTCTGTTTCCTTTATTCCTGGGTGATTATTTGAAAAGCACGACGATCATCATTTTTAAAACAAATTAGATTCTGCTGTCATCTTGGACTTGTTTTGAGGCAGCCAAACCATTCATCACAGCCCAACCCAAATAATAGATATGCAATAAAATGTAAACTCACAGGCATTAAGGAAGCCACAGAATGAGTTAACCCGCCATAAAGGCCTGACACGCGGCTACTCGGCGCACGCGGGATCAATGGTTTTTCAAAGTCACGGGAACTCTAAGCTAAATTCCCAGAGCTCCGGGAATGGATTTATGGTTCAGTGAATGTTAAATAGGTAATTGAAGTGAGACATATAGGTACAACTTATTACCCAGAAATCAATGGGCATTAAAGAAATCTCACTACAACTCAGAAAATAATAGCTCAAACATGTCAGCAACTACATTTTGGATTTAATTTTTAAAGGTTGACTTTAAAATTTTATTTTCTAGTCTCTATTTTGCCAGGGTCCTTTGGGTACCAGGCAGGGTGAGTCCTGGTGTTTTCCCTGGAGAAGTGGGTTGTATTTACAAATGTGGAGGCTGGAGCCTCCTCCATCACATCTGCTTATGCAGCTGGCACAGCCGTTCATCAGAAGACGTGCTTGTCATTGTCTGCAGCTGCCGATGGTGATGTCAGGAATCTCAGGGCTGGTGGTTGCCCGTGCTCAGCCGAGCTGGCTCCTGGTTGGCTGTACCATTCTCTGCAGAACAGGCAGCCCCTCCCCAGAGAGAAGAGCAGAGGACAGGTCCCTTAACCATGGAGTCAGTTCAGCCTCTTTCTAACTGTCGGATGGAGCTAAGGCTCCCAGTCACCCATCTCTGTACAGTGAAATATGAGGGTGGCCTCCCTCTCTTCCTCCTTTATCACCCAAACAATCTGTTCAAGTTGGTTTTGGTTTTCCGAATCCCCGGCTGACCTGGGAACTAAAGGCACAGTGCCCTCCGCCCTTCCTCCTGGCCCCACCCAGCAAGCAGCAGAACCAGCCGCTAGTCCCAGCTACACGGAAGACACCCAGGCCCCAGACTCACTGGTGAGCAGGATGTGCACCAACCCTGCCTGTGCATCACAATAAATTAATCTAAAAGTTGCTCGTTTAAAAAGCTTTTCAATAATGCATGTTTCTGCGCTTTCCTGAATGCTTGGCCTGGGATCTTGGGAAAACCGTGTTGCTTAAATGAGGATTTTTTTTTTCTCGCTTCAAATTCATTACAAGTTTCTTCTGCTTTTTAGAAAGATACTTGTTCTTTAATGAATCCTGTGAGAGCAATGTGTTGGATGCCAAGGAAGGGTTTGAGCAACTAGCAGTGCGGGAAGAAGGCCTCAAGTGTGAACGTTCTGGGATCACAGATGCATGGTGTCCAGAGGAGCACCTGTGTCTGGGGGGCCGTGGGGAGTTGGCTGTGTGGGCCGCACACTCTCCCTCCGCTCCAGGCAGGCAGGGAGGAAGACAGGTTTCATCTGATTATTGCAACACCTCGGTATCCAGGGCAACTCTGTGAAACAGATGAAATGTCAACGGGTGAATTACCAGCTGCTTTTCTGCATTGTTGCTGTGAAATGAAAGGAAGGAGCCACGTCATTATCCCCTGGAATAAACCATGCCCGGCACTGGTCAGCACCAGGCCAGACACATCGTCTCAGTCAGTCCTCACAGCCGCCCGGGGATGAGCAGGGTGACAACATACAATGGCCAGCGCCCCTCCCCCCGGCTCCTTATTCATGCAGTTAGTTCAGACAGGGAGTTTGGATGGTCAGAGTACCGCCTCAGCCTCCCATTGGTTCCTGAGTGTGGGATAGTGAGTAGCTAGATTTCAGATGGCATGGGATTTATCAAAAATTATGTCTGAATCCATTTGGCTCTTGAGTTTGGAGAACAAGTAATGCCTGCACCCCAGTGTCAGTGTGGGCTGAGGCGGGACCGTTGGTGTGATCACTCCCCTAATCCCAAAGGGACAAACCAGCTCTGCTCACACAGGACTTGCAGATCAAGTTGAGAATTCCCTGCCTTTGTTGCCTCCTTTTCTCAAGGGCATACAACAGCTAAGTGGGAGTGGCCAAGGCGGGGGTTGAAGATTGGAAGACAGAAGGTGCTGTGAGTCTCACCAACCCCTTCTAAGGACAGACATGGGGGTACTTTCTCCTCACCTCAAGCATAGAAAGAGGGGCTTCAAGGAGGCTCCATCACTTCAGTTAGTAATGGGCTCGCCTAACACTTACCATGTGTCAGCTCTGTGTATTATGTTCCTATTTTACAGACGAAGAAACTGAAACTGAGGGAAATTAAGTAACTAACCCAAAGTCAACAGGTAGAAGTGGGATTGAATGCAAATGCCTGGTTCTGGAAACTTCTCATACACTTAAACACACTTTGCAACTCACCAGAATCCCCCAGTAACGAGGCTCTCACTGTCCCCACAGTTAGTTCCCTAAATGACAAGTCCCGACTCAGCGGTCTCCTCCTCCAGGAAGGCTTCCTTAATCCCTCTTCCCTCTCCCAAGCCCCACACGCCTTCCTCTGTGTGCCCACAGCCCTGAATTTTTCTCTACACAGTAACAAGGCTGTGGCCTGATGGTTAGGGATGTGGACTAAGTCAGTCCTTGTTCGAACCCTTGTTCTGCCACTTACTAGCCGTGGGACCTTGGACAGTTCTTGACCAGAGGTTATGCTGGGTTTCAAGTTTCTCTTCTGTACAGAGGGCAGGATCACCACTGGGACTGAGCAGGGGCACGCTGCCCGCCACGCATAGAAGCTTTTGCTAAGTCAACCCAAAGGGAGACAGGACATGAGGCTTAAATCTGCCTCCCGATCGAGGGTTTGGGGTGGAACTTAAAGGGCTGCAGTACCAGATCTTCCTAGACAAGGGACCTTTCTTCTGCAGGGGCTCCGGAATTCGGGTTCCGCTGTGTCCCTGCCCTTTGGTTCCGTGGGGGGAAGACACTTTGGTCCAGGCTCTCCTCTGCCCGTGCTGTGGCTGCACGGCTTGCAGCTCATTCTGTCGTCTCTGACAGGACAGGGCCAGTCGCAGCTGGTCTGCGGTTACACCCCACACAGGGTCACTCAGGACTAAATGAGATAATACGCGTAAAGTGAGGAGAATGAT